AATGATGGCATTATGGGCTTATATAATGGTATATCAGCATCATTGTTACGACAGGTAGGACAGATATAATTTACTTTGATGTTTGCATTGCAAAATGAAAGAAGTTGCATTCATAAAAAATAAATGATATAATCCACATCAAAGTTCAAAACAGAAGCACTAAAAAAAAACCAGCCATGACAACTGGAGTTTCAGTTAAAAAACAATGACAAGTACATGATTCTCATAACCAATTTGAGGCTAATTCAATGGTTATGTATTGTAGATAGAAGTACATTGGAGCGGTTGTTGAAAAAATAGCTAAAAACTTGAATACTCAGAGTTTCCATGCGGAGTATGTGAAAGAACAAAATAACTTTAAAAAGATTTGTTAAATTAGAAATAATTTATTTTTTTCAAACTTTTCTTGAAAAACCTTAGAAACATCACTTTTATTATTAGGATTGTTCAACTGCCCACTTTTCCTGAATTGAATTTTTGAACCTCAAGACTTCCTTAATATTAGTTTGATTAAAAGAAACAAATTTCTCATACCCAGTAATGATTTTTTTTTACTGGTTCAATTTCTCAGATGACATATTCATTGACAAGATTTGCAATTTATGAAACCGTAAAGAAAGAGTTAACTAAAGATGGACGAAACATGCCCTTTTATGAAAAAGTTGGTCTTGCATCTATAGCTGGTGCCTCTGGAGGATTTGTTGGAACACCTGCTGACTTAGTGAATGTTAGGTGAGAAAATTGGTCCTTACAATCTGCACTTGACATATTGGTTGCTTATTGCTATTTGAGCTTGATCATTGTTTAGTTAGCCTATCACTTGTTAAGAACAAACAATTGAAAAAGAATGGAAAAAAAATAGTTTGTTTTGTTGTACATATAAGGTAGTAAATAGATAAACCTAAGCTCGCAAACACATATTTTTATATTTTGAGTCGGTATCAATGTACTAAACTATAAATGTTACATACACAGAAGATTATTGCTAGCATTAAAATTTGTATGTTATTTTTATAACCCTGCTCCCACACTGACACTGAGGGTGCGCACCAGCACACCATTCAACATGAGGAAGTGATGACATGTGGATTCTAGAGGAAGGACTTTTCAGATCAGCTGAAGTGATCTGCAGGTTATGGGAGTCTGAGCTGTCTGGGACTAAGAACCATCCTTCCTGCTACCAGTGAACTGCGTTGAGGACCTGGAGCGACACTGGGAAGTGTGTCGTTAGTTTGTACCAATGTTTAGGTACAAAAGGACTTGTAGAACTTAAGACAAGACTCCCTGTGACTATATAGCAGAAGTCTGTGTCTCGTCTATTTTATAACTGTAAATAAATACATCGTCTGTTATTACCTCCTTTCGTTGAATGCTTGATTTGATTTACTACATTACCATATGTAGAGGAAAAAAGTACACTATTGAAAAGATGATTTCTGCAGGCCCTGTCTCTTGTCAATTTAGAGTACAGAACACTTAAAAGAAATCTATAGTATAACCTCCTTTCTGTAACTTGTTGAATCTATAGTGCCTTTACAGGGGCAATCTTATGGATATTTGTTATCTAAGACATTTGTAAATTTGAATTTAAGTCTAAATTTCCTTAGCTTAAGTCTAGTCAATGCTTATTGATTGAAATCCTTCTTTCCATTCACTATTACACAAAGTTTTTCACACTGACTACTTAATGAATAGGCTCAAATTGTTTTACATGCAAGGTACTTTTTAATATGAAGTGGATGATAATTTATGTAATTGTTCTGTTATCAGAATGCAAAATGATGTCAAATTACCTGCGGCAGAAAGAAGAAAGTAAGGTTTTTTTTTTGTTAGTATTTTATACTTAATATTTATGTCGGCGAGAAATAGAAATAGTACTATTTATTATTTTTTTGTCAATTTTTTTTTCGTTTGAGCTCATAAATTTGATAGGGCTTTTCATTACAAAATGATTTCATCCAGTAGTTTATTTTTAATACATATTTCATTGTTATCTCTACTGAATTTAGCTTGTAGAAACAAGTAAAATTTATATAGTAGTCATCTCTGTTGCTTGTTTCTCTTCTATTTGTTTTTAGCTATAAACATGCAATAGACGGTTTATATCAAGTTGTCAGCAAAGAGGGTACTTTTAAAGCCTTCAATGGAGCCACGATGGCCTGCAGTCGAGCAGTGTTTGTAACAGTTGGGCAACTTGCTTGCTATGACCAGCTCAAAAATCTGCTGCTTAAAACTGGTTTCTTTGAAGACAATTTGTATTTGCATTTAACTTCAAGCACTTTAGCTGTAAGTTATTTGATTTGGAATTACAATTTTTTTTTGTATGTAACAATTTTTGTTGTTTTAAAAAGTCATGACTGCTCTTCTTTTTCAGTTGAAATCATACTTAGGGATTAATAAAAATGTTTGATATTTTCAGTTTTTGGAGTCATCTCTAAAATTCAAATAAGAACATAAAACTAAAATTTGTTGAACCCTGATTAGGCCAATGCATCCTCTGTTTGGGACCCCTCAACTCAAGAAAACATTAAGAAACTAGAACAGACATTTGATTAGAGTAACACCTTTAGTAAAATCACTAAATTTAGAAAACCTTCAGAAGAGAAGACTCAAAAATAAAGTAGCAAAAAATAAAAACAAAACCTAATAAAATGCTCTTTCTTCTCTAGGGCTATTAGAGCATGGAATGGGTTGCCTGTGTCAGCCTGGAAAACCAATGACTTAGCTGAGTTTAAGCCATTGATTAACATGCATGACTAGATTGACCTAGGAAAATGCTTAGGGCGTAATCATTTTCTTTTTTGAAGTAATGTCTATGTTTTAGAAGATAAGATAATTGTGTTTTTATGAAGATATTTCTCGAGGCAAAACCTGTTTTGTTTCATGACCAGATTCTATGTAAATCTATGCAATTAGCTGTTTTCACATATTTGTAGATCATTGAAACTACTGAAAAAAAATTCTTAATAGTGTGACAAGAATACTTTATTGATCAAAATTACCTTCTTCTCTACAGGGTACTATTGCAACATTCTTGACCCAGCCTCTTGATGTTATGAAAACAAGAATGATGAATGCTCCCACAGGATATTATAAGGTAAGAACATCAACACAGAATTATTTTTTGTTTCTCTGATATATTTTTGTTTTAAGTCACAGAATTATTTCTTAAACTTTAAATTTTCAACTTGCACAGTTTTCAATGAAGTTTGAAAAAGTATAAAAATGTATTGTTGTGGCCAGTTTAGTGTTTTATATTTATACAGATTCTTAAAACTAAGTTCTTCTGTTCTTTCATCAGAGTATAATGTCTTGTGCCATAGACATAGGTAAAAATGGACCTTTTGGATTTTTTAAGGTATGTTGTTCACTCATATTTCCCATGGTTAATTGTGTGAACCTCTTTTTGAATGGATTGCAGAAAAGTCAGTCCTTTAAAAAATTTATAAAAAGCTTTTTGCTTTATATAATATACAGTAGTACCTTGGTTTGTGACCATCCTTTCCTTGACGCTGGTCATAAAATAATTTGTTCCTAAACTAAATTGAATTCCCCCATGAGAAAAAGAATTTATTTAGTTTTCAGCCCCTATTAACATTAATAAAATTATGTATTATATACTTAATATAAACACCAAGTGGATGGAGTGTGGGGAGGAGGGGTTGGAGTCACTTCTGCTTTGAGGGTGAAATCCTCCTTTATAATAGCATCAGGCAGTTGACTGGAGTGACTTCCCATTTCTGTTGTTTTGCAAATGGAAGAAAAACTTCTACAAGTCTTTTCCTTCTGTCTTCTTTGGAGGACTGTTTGGTAGTAGGACATTATGTTATCCTTTAAAAGATTAAGAGTTCTAGTCCCTTAAGCATTATTGGGGAAAGTTTCTTCCACTACTATGGTCCCGTCCCCCCCCCCAACACTTGGCACACATTTGTAATGAAAGTTACAAAAAAACACTGATGTAGCACAATAAATATAAGCAATCAACTGAAGCAACGACATCTGAACATTGTTAGGCTGGGGGCTGGGTCAGTGGATGCTCATGGCATTTCCGATGACACTGGACATTTGGCATCATTGTTTGCAAACCAAATTTTGGTCATAAACAAGGGCAAAATTTTATTGAAATTTGTTACCGTAAACAAAAGCATTAATAAAACAATGTTCAACAGTAAATTGTTTTAAATAATGAAATGAACTTGTTAGCCTTGCCTGTTTGAAAATATTGATCATTAATTAAAATTAAGTAATTTTGCTTGTTCGTAGTTACTTTTGTTTTTAATTTAATTAAAGCTAAGTTTTATTAAATTTAATTTAAATGTTCCTATCTACAGGGATTTGTTCCAGCTTTTGTGAGACTGGGACCACACACTGTGCTAACTTTTGTATTCTTTGAACAGATTCGACTTAACTTAGGAGATGATCCCAAACCACAGTGAATTTATAATTTATTTTATTAAGTTGGGCTGTGCTTATTTTCTTGTTTAATCTACCTACAGGTAGGCATACATTAATTTCCAAAATCAGTCAGTTTCAACTGAGTTGCTCAATCCATACAAGAATTGTGTATGATGTCTTTCCATTTGTGGTTAAGCTCTGAATCTCTTGTAACTAACATTACTTACATAAAAAGAGTTAAAGTTTTGTTAAGTCTTTGACATTTACAATTTGAAGTGCTTTTTTTTTTTCAATTATTTTTTTTTTTTATGAAAAAGTTAAAATATTTATAGTATTCATTATTTTCTTATCTTTCATTTTGTATCAGGTTATATTTTTTTAAAAAAATTTTCAACAATCTATTAATTCATTAACCAATTAGGAAAATCATTATTTTATAACCTATTTAACTGACATAAAACAACTATTTTCTTGAATTATCTCTCAATAGTTATTAATTACATTGCAAATGATTGAATTTTGATATTATCACAAAAATAAAGTAAGGATTAGATCTTCCTGTTCATTATACTAACTGTATATTTTTATGTATGTACTGGTATATTATTTATATATATATATATAAATAGTTTATATAAATTTTAAGTGCTTTTTATGACAAACAAAGTATTATGACTAATCTTCCACAGTATTTGATGCTTTTATTAACATGTAATCACTGGATTAATTTTTTTTTACAATAGTTACATTCTCAGTAGCTTATTTTACATTAACTGATAATACTAAATGCATCATAATTGATGTCGAAATGGTTGGCTTATGTTGTATGTTGTGACATAGTCAGTTACCTGTTAGATCTTTTTGTGTCACTAGTATAAAGATAATCACTCAATTCTTGTTATATTTGTTTATTTATTTATTTTTTGCAAAGTTGTTATATATCCATTCTCTTAGTCTAGTGGTTCTTAATCTTTTTTGACCCAAAAACCCCTTTATGTAGTCAAAATTTGCCCATGGATCCCCTAAGTGATAATAATAATACATAAATGCATAGTATATAAATTACAAATGTAAAGATAAAATTTTGTTGAAAGAGTGTTTATTGAATTTACAGAATAAGAAGATGGGAAACAAGTCTAAAACTTTTTTTTACGATATCCCATAATGCAGGATATAAAATTGGAATCTGTTTTTTGAAACCATAAATTTGAAGTATCATTGTTCAAACATTGGTTTTAATTTTCTTTGTTTTTTTTTTTTTTTTTTTTGCTATTTCAATAAGCTACGCTCAAAAAGGCAAAATACCAAGTAAGGAATATCCAAGTGAATACTGTCTTCAAATTTTTTATTTAGGTCATCATAGAATAGTTTGTGAGTAGTAGCAGAATAGAATAGTAGTGAGAGGCGAGTTTATTATTTTAGCAAAGAAATTATCAAAATTGTATACAATTTTCATCTTTCTTGGGATCCTCTATGATTGCCTGAAGGTCCCCTGACCACAGATTGAGAACCACTGTCTTAGTCAATACCAGTCATAGCACTTTTGTTCATGTAGTGCAATTAAAATCTTAAACAACAAACTCATCTAAATGCTATCACATTCAAGCATCTAACTTGGCCACTGGTTTTGTAATCTACTTTAATCAAGGAAATGTTTAAAGATATGCTCAAGTTAAAAAGTATATTTCATTGCAAGTTCTTAGATATATTTGATAAAACAGGTAATAAATGTTAAGTCTCTTTTCTAGGAAAAGATAGAAGCAAGGGTAGGCTACATTTTTTTTTCCTTCGTACATGTAATGGCTGCTATTAGTTTTGTGTTAGTTTTAGGTGGTATGAACATTGATTAGAAGACCTTATCAGTTATTATGGAGCTGTCTAAATGGATATTGATTCCTATTTCATCAATCAGTCATACCAAAGTCATACCAAAATATTTGTGATTGATCATTGTACAAAGCTTTGAATGATTTAGAGGTAATCAGAAGAATGTTATTTCTTTTTTGTGATCCATATTGAAATGTTATATTTGCAACCATTAGGAAAATATATATATATATATATAATGTTTAAATTCTTCAAGAATAGGCTTATTTTAAAATGGTCAGATTTCTTAACAATATGCATTTTTTGTTTGTAAATATAAGGCAAAGAATAAAAGAATTTTTAATCTACTTTAAACTTGTCATCTCAGTTTTATCATGTTGCAAAATTGTCTTTTTTAGTATGTTGGGTTTTAATTTTTGTTAAAGTCATATTTAGGCATTCAAAAATGTATCCATGTTAGTAAAATACCAATGTAAACTTGTTACATAGTCATGTTCATGACAGTGTTGAAACAAGTTTACTGTTTCTGGTTAAGTAAGTTATAACCTATCTTCATAATATGAAAACTCATCTCTTGCATACCCAATTTAATTACCAGAATAGACCTGTAACATATATAATAAGGCTTGTCTTCAAGTCTCAAGATTAATTATGAAGGCAATATTTTTTTTGTGGCCAACATATCTCTTTATCTACTATTCTAACAAGAGTGACACAATTATGAATGTTTTTTACGCAGCTACCGAAAGGAAAATAGCTATAGTTTTTGTGGTCTGTCTTGTTTAGATCTCATTAACTAGGAAAGATATTGAAAATCCAACATTTTATTTTAGATCTTTCAAAGTTCTGATGGGAAGGCTTTTTTCTATTCTGAAAGCGAAAATATATTTTTTTTTAAAATTAGCTATGCAAGCAGTTTTTTCACAAAAATACACCATTTTTACAACTATTCACTACTAATAGTAAAAACATGGGAGACATATAGCATATATATATGGCTTGTATTGTATAAAAATGTATTGCTAAGTTATGTTAGTTCTGTCATACTAACTACTACATTTACTAAAAAATGATTACTATTTTGTTTCAAAGAGAAAAAATCTATTTAATATGCATATCAGTGGAACATAATTTATAACAACAATTAATAAGTACTTTTTCATATTATCGTGTGAACTGCAGTGCAGTACAACAGCTATAAGACACATAACTAATCTTTTTTTTTATGAGGCTTTGAATAAGAGATTGACCCTATACAAAACAATTACATCAATAAGATAATCATTATATGAAATCAGGCCATGTTCACATCTAACTTCACCTTCACCTATCCCTTGGTCTGCTGGAACCTTGGGGCACCACACAAGATCTGTGAACCTTCTTTCTCGATTCTTCTTTGTCATTTGCCTTTGATAGAATTTTATTCTGATATTCTTTCTGAAAATATTGGACCTGCCTTTTTACCTGCCTGGGTGGACCACTTTCGGAAGGGGGGGGGGGGCGATTTTGAGTTTCCACACAAACTGTCTTTGTGACCTTGTTTATTTTATTTTACATTTTTATAACAAATCCTACAAAGATCAGGAACAGGAATTAGATAGGCATGTTGTTAGGCCTTGTTATTATGTATTAGAATGTGTCACCAAAAGGAATCACATTTAGTTTCATCTTGCAAAATATCATTTCAGTGTTTCTTCAACTAAATGTTAATGCTTCGTGTTAATTAAGCATAATCTGGTAAGAACCATTAAAATTATGATATATAACATAAACTTCTACATGTACATACTTATCACAAGATGTCAAAAAATGTATAGTTGAACAGGTCAGTTTCCTACATTTCCATTTCAATTCCTTATTTATTTTAACATCATTCTGAATAAATTCTGTGCCAGAAACTCTTGAAAAATAGAACAACTGCCATCAGTCATGTGTAGCTCTAAAATTCATCATAGAACAGAATGGTTAGAGAACAGGAAAAGCATAACGGTACATTTGTTATCTATGTGGCTGGGAGATGAGACTGTGGCCTGCTTGATGAAAATTATTAAAATTAGGGAGATTTACGCTAGATCACCTCACTCTTTCACACCATGCCATCTAAGTCCAGTGGCAGAAATGAGTCCATACAACTGGAGTGGGTTTGGGGTGCAGTGGGTGACCAGTGTGCTCTACATGTTCCACAGTGCTCCAAACCTACCATTTCCAAAAGTCAAATTGAGCATTGCAAGACATGTTAAACTTCTGATTAAATTTTTTTTTTCATATACAAGATAATTTTTATTGGTCCAATCAAATGGAAATTCAGTTTGACTACAATTGACCACCTCAGCGTAACTACTGTCAAGGTATTCATATAATGCGTCACATCTTTATTTAGCTGATCTTATTCAAAAACTTTTCATACTCATGTTTGGCACTGCAATTGATTTTGTCTTGTGTTTGCATCTCAATAACTAATAATGACAATAAATCTGATTTCAATAGTATCAACTACATTGTTGACAAGACAATGGCATTTTTTTTTATCTTTAGAAAGGAAATCCCTTTGTTTTTTAAATTAATTTGACTGTTTTATTATAAAAAATACTGTAAAGAATTATTAAAAGTAGAGTTAAGAGTCTTGTAGAATTATACTATCCTGTACTGCATAAGGATCAGATAAACATGGCTAAAGAGAAATAATCCCATGAACACAAACAAAAATGTAACTGATTTCTTAAGTTTATTTACAAGAAATGGTGATGTTAAAAAAAGCAATTTATAATCATTGATGAATCCACTAAATGACTAACGGTAACAATTGTACTTGTAAAAATTTAACAATTCCTTTGCCTAGGCTCTCAATCAACAAAAAAAAATGGTTTTGTCTTGGCCTACAACTTGCAAATCTAAAACCAATTTGAACATCATCTAGTTTCTATGGAATGATTATAAATTTGAATATTTAATAAAAGAAATTTTGACTGTTTATACTTATGAGATTTCGGCATAAAAAAAAAACTTCAATGCATTAAAAAATTAAAACAAGATGATTAAAAAAATGAAAACAAAAAAAAACAACTACAACAATGTGTAAGCAAACAAGAAATCTACATCTTTCAAAACAGAGTGAAGTCATTTGCTTAGTTTACTTTTGACATCTTTTCTTGTCAAGCTTCAAGACATGCAGAGCTAAAAGGAAAATAAAAATACAAAGCATGGTAATTAGCTGGCTGAAGTGGCCTAAAGAAAAACAAAAACAGCTAAACAATGGACAGGACATTTGGCTGTATTAGATATAATGAAAAAGGTTTAAGAAAGTCTTCTCATGTAGTAAAGTATACATTATGACCCACAAGCATGTTTAATGTGTAGTTTACCTTTTTATGAAGAGTTGCTGGGATATTGAGCAAAGTTGTAAGCTGTTGTTAGCGTTGACTGAGCTGTCCCATATGCTGAAGTGTCCTGAGTACTATAAGCTCCATACGTAGTGCTAGAGAAATGCAAGACAAAAAAATGATTACTAGAGAGATTGTTCTATATTATTAAGTCAATCTGTTGTTTTTATTTAGCTTGTAAAAGCACAAAAAGACAATTTTGGTTTCTGAATGCTTTTGACCTAATGACCTTGATTGTGAATCAATTGTTAAATTTGTTGTTTCTTGGGTATTCTCCATCCAATTCAAATTAGATAAGTAAAAAATAAAAATAATTTTAGCCACTCAATAACCTCCCAAAACTGTTATATAACTAGAGAAACTTGACATTGCCCTGCCCACCATTTCTTATTTCTAAAAGACTGAAATGGGTTAAAATTGACTTACTCAGTGACACCAGCAGTTTGTTGTCCAGTCGCATAATATCCTTGATTTGCATACGCTGCAGCAGGATCAGCAGTGTACTCTGTACCAGTGACATTCTGATTGTTGTAATTGTAACTTGTTGCTTGGTTAGTAGCAGTAGCCTGCTGGGTGTAAGCCTGTGTGTAGTCTTGTGACTGGTTTACTGTGGTGGTTGCTGTGGTCTGATTTGTGTAATCAGCGGGCTGCCCCCAATAACTTTCAGTGCCTGTAGCAGTGCTCCCTGTATAGCTGGCTTGCTGCTGCACACCATAGGCTTGAGCCCATGCATTCTGGTCATAACTAGGTTGCTGGGCACTATATATGGCTGGCTGTGATGGATAAGTTACTGGCTGCGTCGCTGGGTTAGTGTAACTAGTCTGTGCTGTTGGCTGACTAGCATAATCCGTCGCTGGGTTAGTCACAGTACTCTGTTGGGTACCATAGCTGCCTTGGTTATAAGCATTTGGTTGACTATATGGCACCTGTGCATTGTAGCCAGTTTGTGTGCTATTGTAGTTATTTTGAGTGTCATATCCAGTCTGCTGGTTGGCATAGTTATAGCCTTGTTGATTCCCAAAGTCTTGGCCTCCTGCTCCAAGGTTTGGCTGGTTATAAGTGTTTTGCTGTCCAAAGTTATTATTAGGCCTATTTTCAAAACTCTTTCCTTTATTTCGATTGTCAAATCCACCAGGTCCCCCACCTCGAGCGCCTCCTCTGCCCTGTCCGTCAAATCTGCCACCTCTTCCTTGATTATCAAATCTACCTCCTCCCCTTGCTTGATTATCAAATCTACCTCCTCCCCTTGATTGGTTATCAAATCTACCACCTCCCCTTGCTTGATTATCAAATCTACCACCTCTTCCAGCTGAATCAAAATGACCTCTTCCAGCTGAATCAAAATGACCTCCTCTTCCAGGTGAATCAAAACGGCCACCTCTACCAGCTGAGTCAAAATGGCCACCTCTTCCAGGTGAATCAAAACGACCTCCTCTTCCAGCTGAATCAAAATGCCCACCCCGTCCAGGTGGATCAAAATGCCCTGCTCGCCCAGCTGAATCAAAATGCCCACCTCTTCTGGGTCCTTCAAATGGTCCACCTCTTCCTGACGAATCAAAGTGGCCACCTCTTCCTGAGGGTTCAAACTGGCCCCCCCTTCCTTTGCCATCAAATCGCCCACCTCCTCTCCCAAAATGGCCACCTCTTCCAGGAAGTACGTCCATTCTTCCTGGTGGTTCAAATGGGCCTCCACGTGGAGGACCATCAAAGTTACCTCCCCTTTCATTGGGTCCATCTCTTCCAAATGAATCAAAATGGCCACCCCTACCTGGCCCTGGAAAATGGCCACCTCTGTTGATAAAAGGGTCATCAGGGAACCTACCTCCCCTTCCTCTACGATCATCAAACCTGTTTCCCCCTCCAAAATGACTACCACGAATTGGAGTATCAAAGCGTCCACTTCTACCTTGGTGATCTCCCCTATCTTCTCGACTATTTCTTCTCTCACCACTTCTATCCCTTTTGTTTAAATTTCTCTCTCTGCT